CGTGTATTTGTTTATTTCAAAACACTTTTTTTTTAACATCTCATGTCCTACTACTCCAATCAACTCATAGGGTCTGGGACGCAACAGAATTAGACTACGACGGATATACTCTATATACACATATATAATATGAATATACATGGTTTTCGCTTAGCAACGACGCAACTGCTGCAATGGTTCTGACAGCCGAGTAATTAACAGTAGAACGGACAGAGACAGCATGTCTTCAGATCGGACGTAGGCACCCGATCATCACCATCACCACTACCACTACCACCTTAAATTTGCGTAATACGAGACAGAGGGTTTTACCCTCGCTTACGCTTCGGAAAAGGACGTCCGTCGTCGACACGTCAGTGGATCGTGAAAAATTAATTTTCATCCCTAAGGGTTGGTGAAAAACAATTGCTTTATATATACAACGAATTAGCCGGGATTTTATACATGAGAGGAAATAATATTATTCCGTCCACGGAAGTGTTATTCCTCTGAAATTGAGACTATTCAATGATATTTTTTACGGGCGAGTAATATCCTTGTTTTAGACCACCCTCGGAAGGATGTTTTTTTTCGATTATAGTCGCATTTACAATAACCATGGGAATTGACCATAAAAACCTACATATAGACCAGTTGAATTGGTTTTAGATTGAGACCGTGTCCCCTGTCAAACGACTATATTTTTCCTATTCCAGGCGTATATATATATATATATATACTTGTATATACTGTAGAAATACTTCACAATCAACCGCAAGTTTAATTACAAGTGTTTTTGTATGCGTACCTATGTTTGTATACGCGTGTGTGCGTGTGTTTTGGTGTGCGCGTATGTGTACACGTGTGTGCTAGTATATGTGTTTAGTATTTACAGAACTTGAAAAAAAAAGAAGTTTGCGCCGAACTTTTGCGCGAACCTTTGCTGACTTTTAATTACCGTCATAAAATAGTGGCAGCGCGTTCGGCTCCCTCGGCATTTCTCATCAAACACGCACGTCGCTCTGATCCCTTGCTTCTGGATTAGACCCCAGGCTTGCAGAGCAAATATTGAACTAACGTTAAGACGTTGCTCTCTACCACCGCCGCCCCACATCCGACCAACCCGGTAATCACGGAACCGGCCGGGACGTGATGCCGAAGGTTTTACACTATTGACTCTGTAGTTTTTCCGCCGTCGTTCGTCTTCGGGGAGTCGGTGGCGTTGGTAGACAGCGAAGAGAAATGATAAAATCCGCTGTGCAGTCGAAATTTGATTAAACGTCGATATCCGCGACGGATGGTTTTTATTCCGTTCCACGGCAAAACGGCAATTATTATTATCCTGTGAAAACAAGGAAGGGCAGTTTGTGTCGGTTTCGATAATCCGGGGACTCGATATCCTCGGAATATATATATATAAGATGTTTTCGTGTCGGTAGAACGGGATGCATCGGTTAGGGAGACTAAACCTAATAATAACTGTCGTAAAGACGAGCTCCAGACCTCCCACCGTCCCCTCCTCGATCGCGTACCGATTGGCTACCATGGTCTGTCGATTAGGATAAACCATTTTAGCAGAGGGGAAAACAGACTTTACGGCGAGTCCGGAAGTCAGATAGAGACTGGCTAATAATGACTGTGTCTATAAGATCGACAATAATGATATGAAGCAAAAATGTATATGAATTTGCAGAATGGCATCTCCAATTCTATTTTCTGGTTTCTTACCAATGCTTTTATAATAACGTTCGAATGAATGGTTTAAATAATTCTTAAAATATCCTTACAAAACTTTACGGTCATAAATTTATCATTTTAGATAGATTCTTAGTGATTAAAGAACTATATAATTATTTCTAATACATGTTCAATAGCTCTATATAAAATCTATGAACGATCACAAATTCTATAAATTAGAAAAATTCATACTTCAAAATATCTATAGAATTATATAATTTTAAACAATATGACCCGAAACCACAAAATAGCTAAATTCATGTCTTCAAATATTTAAGTGTTCACAAATCTACTTTAAATTAGTTACTAATATACTTAATATGATAAATCAGCATTTTGAAACAAATAATATTCAATTAGATATTAAAGACAATAATATACGATTAAAATAATTTAGTTTTCCAATAGCTGAAAGTTATGTAAACAGCCAGTTCGCCTATATATAAACCATATATACGGGTCATGGAAAAAATACACTTTAAGTGCACAGCTACGGGCTTTCAAAATCTAAGGAAAGGGTTGTAATCTCAGAATAAGAATTTAAATAAAAAAAATACACTCCGTATAAAAAAGGGTGATACTTAAAAAGGCCGTCGTCGGCGAAAAAGCAAGCATTTACTGGCGAAAATGGGCTTGCGGCACTTGTGGCCCCACGGCATCGGTTGCATCGTTAGGAAAATCCCTTCATTTTCACACTTTTTTTATCTGTTTTTTTTAGAAAAAAATCCTAAAAAAATCAACGCAAAGGAAAAAACCCGACACTTAATTCAGGAATTAAAAACACCCTGTTGAGCGCACCAGTAGCTCTACAGTATTGTCATCCGAGCCCCCAGACGTGTTTACAAACGGTTTTTATGTGCAAATAACAATAATGAGGGCGGAGAAAAAAAGGTCGGTGGATTAAAACAATGGTGTTTTCAACATTGTATTACGCGTTGTAAAAGAAAAAAAATAATTTTTAACTACCGAGCGACAATGTGCTTAATAATTGCGGCTAATAAGAAACGCGACGTATACATCTATCTTAAAAATAATACACTTAGCTCGGGAACGCTAAACAATAGATTTTTAGATTCAACGCGCGATGGTAAACGAAAAATAAATATATAGAAATATAGACAGTATAAAATCTTGAATACAGTTGTTAATACATAAATAACGATTTTAATTTGTATATATATTTATAAGTGATAATATTAAATTGTGTCTGATACTTATATTGAACGAAAATTAATTTATTGACTCGGTAATTTTAACGTGCAGATTAATTTTAAGTTACTGCAGAAATATAATATAATTGTATAATTTCGGATCATCGTGTAGATAGATATAGTTTCAATAACTTTGCGCCAGCCTAAACGCGTGCGTGTTAAACGCGGTCGACAGCGTCGTTTATCTCACTTTTGGCGGTGTACGCGTAAGAGACCGCCAAGTTTGTTTTTGCAAAAAAAAAAAACACCAAAAAATACATCATAACCTTTCCACCGTGTAGTTTCCATTTTAAATATTCCCACCAGACCCGCACTGTAAATGACTACTACACGCGTACGTTATTATTATTGTTCTTTGCCAAGAAGAGTGCAAGTGTTCAACCGTTTTCTGGCGACGCGACTAGAGAGGTATCTGCGCGGTTCCGGTCCAGTGATTCCGCCACTGCTGCTACCACCGGCAAAGAGAGGAGCTCCGCCGCCGTATCGACTGCTGTATACACGCGGGTTTTATAAAGAATAGCCGAGTCCGTTTTTGCGCGCTTCCTTCCTGTCGCTGCAGTTCAGGTTCTCCTCCCCTCGGCCCGAGTTACCGTATACGCGGGAGCTTTGTTACGGCCGATAGTCAGATTATATGCATACACACCGCCCTGGAAGTCGTAATGAAGACATTAAAGGGTCGCATATTGATCAAACGGCCGTTCCGCCTCGTCGTACGGTAGTTTCTTCGTCTCTCTTTCTCTCTCTCTCTTCGTCTCTCTATACGTACGTCTATCTTTTTCACTCTCGCTGTCGCCTCTTCTCCTTAACCCACCCCAGTCCTGCCTACGCCCCGCACGACCACTCACGCAACCCCTCCGTCGCCGTTGGACCCTCGTCGCTTGACAATAACATAGCCCTCTCCTCATCGTTCCCCTGCAGACCCTCCACCCCGTCATCATCGTTCTATTCGTTCACAATGAAACCTCTGCCGCGTAAACGCAATCAAGATTACTCTCGTCCGATCGCATCGTCGCCTACCGTCCCGTCGCCGCCCGCTTGAACGCGATCTTCAGATATAGAAAAGTTTTATTTTCACTACACGCGAAAACACGTCTTGGCCGTTGACTCGTCGTCGCTAGTACTAGAACAGTAGTAACCGTGAACGTCGCTGTTGTTCTCGTCTCAATGATTGTTGAACGTGAAAATAACTTATTTACGATCAAAAATAAAATACGTATACCTATAATATTCCTGGTATGGTATAGCTGTATGAATGTACGTGTGTGCGTGTATGATGTGTATACGCTGTTTTTTATTTATAAAAGTAAAACGGTGTTTCATACTTGACATTTTCTCCGAGAACAGTTTGAAACTGCTTATCGGGCAGGGAATAGCGAAAGAGACTAGAGAGACTTTATATATATATATATATATATGTAGTGCACGCGTCTAAAACCGTTTCCCTTAAAAAGCTTAGCATAGACGGTTCGCACGAAATTCGCCTTATAGAATCACGGCGGCGGCGTGGCGAGGGGATGCGAAAACGCATAAAATCCCTCGTGTGCTGTTTTTCTCTCACACTCTCATCGTCTCAGACACACCTCTACTGGAGTTGTTTTGTTTTTTTTTTCTATCCCCCCTGCAAAGAGGACAAAAGACTTAAGTCTTTGAAAAAAATATCACAAAAGTCTAAGGGAGTGAAAAAGTAAACTACATCGTGTGTAGGAGACGTCTTTTGTTAAATGATACACCACCGTATACATATAGTGAAAAAAATAAAGACCCGTGGTTTATATGACCGTATACATATATGTATGTATGTATGTGCTACAGACCCAATCGCATTATATGTACAGCCTTTTAATACCACACAACATGGGTACCGTTTTGCACCGTTCAACAGGTAGTCTATTAAACAGGTCCTTATATGCATCGTTATGTACTCGGCATCCTTTTTTATTATCCCTATGACGTTTACAAGGGGTCACCTATCCCAATCATATTTTAAATATATACATACATATGATTTATTTTATTTTAAAGAGTTATTTTCACAATCAATCCTAATATGATGTGTTTTTTCGTGTGTTTCAGACCTGTCAGTGCGGCGGGTAAAATATACTCAAACAATGAGCAAAGTAAGTAATTTAATTTTATAAACCGAATTAAAATAGCTATGTGTTAAATCTTCACATACGTAATATATAAAAGTATAGATTCTAAAAATATAAAATAATGTACTATGAATGAGATAATTAAAATATGCCATTAAAAGTTAACATTAAAACATACATTTTTAATAACAAAACAGATAAAAAAATATATATAAAATCTAGTATATTTTTTGACAATTATTGAATATACGTAAGCATTATTTATTATTATTATTGATATTATATCTTGTATACTAACTGGTGGAAAAAAAATCCCAAAACTAGTAATTTCAAAGTTGAAACGAGGGAGACTTGGAAAGCACACATACGCCTGTTCTCTACAACTCACGGTATATAAAAACAAACAACACTGCCACGGTAAAAGTTTTAATGAAATATGCACGAGGCAAGGGTTATTTACTCGACGGTCGACTTTCTAATTTATCAAAAAGACATTTCGCTCAAGTGTATACAGATACCTCTCTTACTCATCCATCCTAGCAGCATCTATCTCTCCCGTCTTCGACTTCTTTGTGTCACCCGTTTGGCTGTCATCCGAAACGCATTAATATACCGACGGTCCTGTGAGCAAACACAAACCGGGCAGAACCGGCCAAGTATTTTAATTTATCTGGAACGCCAATACACAAAGTTTCTACTTATTCCGGTGTCTGTCTCTGCCCTGGACGTGCATGTGGTACGACGACGCTCACTCCCCGGCAGAAAGTATATATTAATTAAATTCCCAGCCAGAGTATCGACCATCAAAGAAAATAGCAATGGAAAGGGAATATCTTAAAAGATATGTATTTTGGCTACATTATCATTGATTTAGTAAAAATAAATGATCTTCAGGCGATGGATTTAAATTATCATTACCATCTTCAAAACAATTTAAAATCCTGCCATAAAAAATATGTCCGTTATATAAATTTCAAATAACAAACAAAGTCAATTTTTTTATACATTAGAACCTCTATAACACGAAAGCCAATAAGTCAAGTAAATATTTTTAATAAACCATAGAAAACAAATTCCTTATAAACTTCCAAACTTTGTTACTGTTATGATTGTATGTTAAATTTTTTGTCAAATAAATGAATATAAATTTCAAAATGATTTCAAAATTAATAGAAGATATGTATGTCAATTTATTATATATAGTTCTAAAATTAATTTAACTTACGTATAAGTAAGGAGTTATTATGGGTTTTTTTTACATATAAATCACAAATTATTTATAAAATTGATTTTCATTATATCCTGATCTCGATTTTTTTACATATTGTTTCAATTCTATTCAAATTAATTTTTGAAACTTTATACTTCTCATTTCCTCATAGTCAGATGCAGGAATCATAAAAATAATAGATTAATTGAATCATTGAAATATCCCTGCCAATCATATTATCAAGCATTTGTTAGATTAAAATATATTTGCGAATTAATAAAAAATTGAAAAAATGTATTACTTGTTGAAAAACCAGTGAACAATACAATTACATTTTTTTGTCGACTCTACCTCGGGACAAAGCACTTGGCTCGTTGGAGCGCGCGTGACTTTGTGTAAACATCAGTCGATTATGAGTGTTTTGATCGTTTACGTTACACCAAAAGGGGATCTTCCGCAAAGACAACACGAAGTCACTAAAAGGTGCTTAACCTAATGGGGAATTAAATACATAAACGATTTACCCAACTAAAGTATTCATAATACTGGAGTACAAAAAAAAAAACTCCACTTAACTTAATTCAAATCCGGAAAGGCTTTATTCTCTGCTCTTTCAACACAGTTTTCAATGACTAAACTTCACATATAATTAATTACATTAAGTTGATTACACGCTTAAACAGTAGTATATTTTTTTTTTTTTTTTAAATTATTCCGATGAGTTTACGACACAATTTCCGAGTAGCTAATAATTTCATGTATATACGTATACAGACGTTCGCCATCAATGTGAATTGTTGCTAATACTGTTATTTTTTCCTATAGAAACTTCACATAAAATCTTAGAGACGGGCAAAGAAACCGCAAAGGAAATAAAACGCGCGCGGGGTTGTCTGCAATCTAAGAAGGGCCGCGGTGGTGAATGCAAATATCTTTGGATGCGTTCAATTTTGCACATCTGGTATTTTAAGTAAAATGTGCGTCTTCTCAGAAATATATGTATATATATATAATATACATGGAGTGAAAGAGAGTGAGTGAAAGAGAAAGAAGAGAGAAACAGACAGACAGACGGAGTATGCCGAGATGGTCGTCTCCGTGGTGTGGGGGGTAGAACGGAAGAGACGCCCTTGCTTGACAGCCACGCAAGTTATTATTATTATAAAACGAAATCAAATCTATTCGAACGCGGCCGGCGGTCTCGGGTGAATAAATTAGCGGTTAAGACCAAATAAGTATGGTAAAGCTCTAAACCCCCGGCACCCATTCTCCTCGCCAACAGGCACATATTCTCGCAAATACACACACGCGCGCGCGCGCGTGCACACATTCCAACGGTTATGTGTATGAAGTAATTATTACCCCACACACCCGTGGTCTGCTGCAAGCGCGTACCCCGCCAACCGACTTCCTCCAAGGCGAAAGACGGTGCATACAAATCGGTTGACAGTACTACCGCCACCGCCGCCGTATTATAAAATTTTGAATATGAATGGGCAAGTTTTGCATTTGTAATAAGCCGCGTTTGAGCTACGCACGCGTTACCTCCCAGATCCGAGTAAAAATATTCCACCCTGTAAGTCACCGTGCCACACCAGTTGCAAGAGAAGCATGGCAAAATAGGAGAGGAGAAGTGAAGCGACCGTTTGCTGTACGACATGACGTGTTAGCGGAGAATAATAATATCCCGTGTTGATTATGTTATTATTATTATTATAACGTATATATTATTATCCCGTTCAGATAATGGCTAATGAATAATAGAATGCGATTAGCTTGCGGAAAAATTCAAAGAGTATCGTGTTAGATAATAAAATCACGATTTTCATTATATTATTATTTACACATGACTTTGGTGTGGTAAATGATCAGTGGCATTATTACTGTTAAAGGTAGTTTAGGAAATTAACTCCTGGCCCCGATATTCAGGATTCTTTTTCGATGGCATGATGAGAAACTTAAAGAGTAACTTAAAGTTGCCCAAACCCGCTACATAATATAGGATCACGTGTTCTCTAGCGGAATCCGCGTTTTCGATTTAGATCAGCTCAACTATAGATCGGATCTACAGCGACGGCCGGGAGTCAAGTGCCTGTTAAGTAAACCGTACATATGAGGTGATTAATTTGGCTCCGATCCGACCATATTAGGCAGCGTACGGCGGTAATAATTTGTACGAGCGCGAGCGTATAGGTATACGGTTCTGATTAATGTCCGCGGCATGTAGGCTTTGTGTGCGTTCTTGTATATTACTACTGTGCACCGGCCTCCGTGCACATAATGTGTAATAATGCGTTCCATCGAAATTAATTTCTCGGTTTATCCTCTGTGCGCGCCAACGACTCGCACACTCGTCTAAGCTAAAACTTGTGTTCCGGTAAATTACCATCCGGGTTCACATACATTCTATCGCTCGCGTGCATGCGTGTAGAACGTGATGTTGTTTATAGATGATGTACAGCGCACATCGTTTACGAGAAATTCCGTCGCTATACGGTGTGTGTAGTCTTGTGTGCCCGACAACGTGTTTTTCATTTTTTGATTAGACCATAGACATTCGAAGACTACTGAAATAATACTCTTACCAATAAACCGTTCGCGCATATAGCTATTTACATCGTGTTCAATCGAAACCGCACTTAACATTTAGGATTGCCTTGGCGATTAGGGTGCTCGATACGGATGAATTACGTATAGATTCACATGTTTCAACCGAACATAATTTTTATTTCGTATAATTTTAAATTATTTTCCTGATATTACTTATATTTGAATAATTGAATATTTGAACTTATATTTACAACAATTGTATATTTATTATAATTTTTTTGCGTGATGACAAGCTTAATTTTATAGTGATGGGACACCACTTCATTATTATTTATAACTTGAGATCAAAACAATTAATTTGGGTAAGACAAACATTTATCATAAAATACTACACTTATACTTAAAACACCTCAAATCATCGAACATCGCATAATGCTTTTATTCGTATTATGAGAGTTAACTAAAACAATAATTATCATTTGTTTTAATATTTGATTACTATACTTGTATATGATCCAACATTTAGAAATATTATAATAATATATTATATATTGTAGTAATGGTCGGATTTAAGACCAACATTTGTTAGCGTATAACATACTGTTACTATTTTATACCGTTTTGATACTTTAAATATACTAGTAAAATAGTCCTAACTATAGTTGGGTCCAAGCAAAACCCCGTGTATTCCCTCGAAAGTACCATGGGCACTTCACGCTTTTTCCGGTTTCGTCTTTTGCCCCATGCAAATATACGACGTCCACAGAATATTACAAGTATAATACATCATATTATTTGTTTACCGATCTCTGCCCTTTTCACCCTTTCGGCGGCGTCCCGAAAAAGCGAGTGGGTACATAAGAGTTTATTTTAAACCTATGTATAATTTCACGTCTCCCTCTCAGTCTTCTGTCCCTCGGTATATAATATGTGTACGTACGAGCACATCGTTTCCCGTGACCCGGAGATTTGGTTCGCTTGTCAAGGGGATCTGTCCTCCGTAGCGGTGGTGGCGCGGCGGGTCGATATTATTAAAATTTGTTCCATTATACAAACGAACAACCCAAGTTTTTGGCAGGTCGGTAATAAGTATGGGAATGTCGAAATATTTTTCAATTTCCTGGTGACGTCACCAGACGACGACGACGTTCATTAATGCACAATGACGACGCGCGTACGGTGGAATGACACGACAGCGTTTTCTGTAAACCCGAATCGCAATGCCAAAAATATGACGATGATGATCATGATCATGATGATGATC